CGAAAAAAAAAAAAAAAAAGAAAAGAAAAGAAAGGAGAAAACAAAATTAACAAAAATAAAAAGCCTTAAGTCGAAAAAAATTGATTTCCGTGCATTCCCAAAAATGTGATAAAACGAGGCATGCTGCCATGTTGCAAATTCCTTTTTGAGTAGATTGGAGCTAATTTAGCTCATATCCGGGCTAATAATATACATGAAAAAATTACTCAATTCTGATTGGCTGAGAGCAGTGCAGTTCAAGTGTAACAGCAGTACAAAAAGTGTAACACCAGTGCAAATCACACATCGCAATTCTAGATTATGATTGGCTGAAAGACAATAAGAAATTTTCTAAGTCAATGATATCACGTAAAATGATGATGAACGTTTAGTGCGGAAACTTTGAAAAAAGTTTTCTCGAAAGAAAAAAATGGCTTCAAGAAAGATATTCTAGCACTTCCTCTTTGCAAATTTTGTCATGTTTATAGCGGAGCGGCTCGTGCAATTTCAGCTTTTTGAAAAACTCACTCGTGCAAATTAATTCCAAATTGAACGAGAAAAACTGTATGATTACCTATACTAAACATGTCAAAAAATGTTCAAAAAATGTACTTTTTCCAAAAATCTCCAGGTTTCAATGGGTTAATAAATTCACGACTCGCTTCTTCAGTTAGATAAAAGATAGAACTAATGAACAAAACTAAATCTCAATGAAAATTTTAATGTAAAGATGGGTCTACAAACTGGACTCCGTCAAAGAAAGTGTGTGTCCAAGAGAGAATCAGTTCTGCTTATCGTTGAGTGTTGTAAAAAAAACAAACGCTGTAGTTACTCTAAATGCGGCGATTAGAAACCAGAGAAGGTGTTAAAATTATTAATATGACAGGGCATACAGTTTAATACAGTCAGTTGCCACAGACCAGTATGAGACATCACCAGTGGCATACGTACAAACAGGCGTCACTACTTTATCATGTTTAGAATAGTAATTGGCTTCCTTCCACTTCTGACTCCGACAACAAATACAAATAGAAATATCGACGATACCAAATATCTGGACACAGTTTTTATTCGGGTTTATTAAAGGATGCAATAATTTTCCGCAATCCTAATTTACACATCTGTTTAATTATATCGAGGTCTCAGTTCTTGGAATATGAAAATGATAAAATGAAATGAAAATAAAACTTCATTTAAATACGTTCGAGAAGTAACATAACATCCAGTAAGATACGTCAACACAGGGCTGTAAAACTGGAATCGAGCTACTTATTATCCATGTATCTTGGATTCCTAAAATGAAATGAGAAAAACTGAGTGACATCTGACCAGAGGTTTAGTGAGAATAAATCGAACGAATGAAGCCTGGGCTTAACGTCCTGCATGGCTCAACTTAAGCACCGTTTCAAAACATCAGGCCTTTGTATTCAAACAATACTTACGAGACATCTAAACTCATTCGTGAATCTTGTCCCAGTTGATCACAAACCTTTGGCTAAAGTTTGTACATATTCATTTTCGTTTGTTTAGGAGAGTTGTACTAAAGCGTGAGGTGACGGAAAGACTAGATCATGAGTGCACAATTATCTCATTGAAAAATGAACTACAGAAATAGAACAATTTCCACATTTTAAAATTCAGCCTAACACAATATAGACCTCAGCACGAGGCTCTGGGGAAAAAACTCACAAACTCTGTAGTTATTCGGCAGATCTGAGTCTCGTACCGAGGTCTATTGTTTTAGGCTGAATTTTAATATATCGAAATTGGACTATTTAAAGGCGGTCCCAGACTAATCGACGTGAATTTTCTTTTCTCTAAATATCATGACTCCAGTAAAGCGGTTTTTAATTGATTGTCGTAAAAAATTTCGCAAAAGTATAACCTGAAAATAAATGTAATCAATCTAACCAATCCCAAAGTACGAAGACAACCCAGAGAGCCAATCAAAACACGATGTAAATACATGTAGCTGACGTGAAGCGACGGAGAACGAGTAAAACGCACCGCTTTTGGCTTTCGTTTAACTTCTGGTTAGGGGCCAATCGCTCAGCGTGGTAAAGTAGAACCCAACCAAGTAGAAAATACTTTCCACACTATGTAAAAACCGCTCTACTGCAGACAATGCTGCCGGGAAAATATACCTAGATTGGGGACTGGTAACAAGTGGTAAACCCTACACAAAGTCAGCCATTGTGGTAAATACCAACCTTACAATAAATGCACCATAACTGGCACCTCTTCAATCAAAAAGGCTTAAAAATCGTGATTCTGTAGAATTCTGATAGTAACGGCCCCTGTTGCCTTCGGATTTATCAGGCAAAAGGGGCCGTTAGTTAAGGGTAGCCGTTACTTTTTGGCAGCCGTTACTTTCGGATGATTAAAATACGTTGATAAGGTAATTCACAGTCCGTTTCAAACGAAGCAGACGGGTATTCCATGAATTTAAAAGTTCCGTTTCACGTACGTTACTAAAAGTACCTATATAAACAGAGCAGACTGTATAAACGAAAACGTCCCTACAAATATTGGTACTATTGGACGAAAGTATAATGGTCGCATTACATCGTAAAGCAACTGAATCTGCTGCCAGACAAATAGACCTTATAAACTGTAGTTTCAAGAAAACTTCAGTTCGGAAAGTTCGAAATAAAATCACAAATAATTCTTCAAGTTGTTCAGTCCTGCAGTCAGGTTGCTCTAACCGCATTGCGCTTGAGATCAGGGAGTTTTACTTTTTCGTGACCTCTTCAAAGGGCCGCTACTTTACGGAGGGCCGTTACTTTCGGGGCTCAATAGGAAGGTAAAAGATTAACGTTACTTTCGGGGAGCCGTTATTTTCGGGGGGGGGGGGGGGGCTTTACTTTCGGAGTTCTACGATATGTTAAGTTTTTGAAAGAACAGGGTTTGCATAGTGTTACGGCTACTTACTTTTTCTGCCATTCTTCGCAGATTTCTAGCAGGGTTTTATTTCGTTTCGGTTTTGAACGCTTTTGGCATCTGTGAAGGAACGAAGACTATCGTAAATGAAATGAATCATTCTAAGAAAGAGAAAAATCGACTGAAAACAGAATTTACAGAAACAAAGAGTTTTACAAAAAAAAATTACAAGCTAGATTCTGGTAAGATTAACTTTGTAATGTGATTGTAATTCTCAATCTCAAACGAGGACGCGCGAGACTGCGCAAGCGCCTAAAAGATCACTCATTATTACCTGGAGGCGGCAAAAACGTCTTTATCCTTTAGCTCTTTCTTTTCAGACCGAACTTTCTTCGTTTGCCCCTCGGGACTAATTCGTATTCTTCCCCCAGCCAAGCTGAATTCTCCCATCATCTGATGAACTAAGGCTTTTGTTTGCTCGATCTCGCTCATAAGACCTTCAATTCGATCAAGCGCGTTCATGGCGGTCGTGAAGAATCGAATGCCATTTTGTATTCCACCGGCCGTCACAGGCCTAGATTTAAATTTCAAATCTTCCGGGTTCTTTTCTTCTTCGTGTTTATGTTTGTTCATTTTCCCGTTGAAGCAAATAAACGTAAACAACGTATGTAATTAATGAAATATCCATGGAGACGGCTACAACGTCACACTGAAGATTATTGTTACTTGCTTCGCAATTATCTCTACATTCACTTTCACCATTTTCCAGTTCCAATGTACTGAACGTATGCAACAAACACCAAATTAACTTTAAACAAATGTTTATTCTGTTTCTTTGATTAAAAACTGTCAGGCAGACATATCAAATGGACACTTGTTAGTAGTGTTCATCAAACTTCTGCGGGAGATAGATCATCATGTGAGATCAATGGTGAACGCCACTGAAGCGCATTTGATACCATCTTTCAGGCTCACTTCCAGCGGTATTTCAAGTAAAGAGCTCATTGCAAACAGTCACTTTCAGTGGAAACCGCTCGTATTGTACCGACAGTAACTGAAAGTAAATTTGCATTACGAAGCTTCTCCCGCCGGCCGGGTGGCGTTCGACAGGCATCTCTGAAAACTTTAGATAGTAATGATAGCCATTTCCTTCGTTAACACCGCTGCCGTCTTATCAAAGTATCAAAAATTGAGAGCAAAAGTTTGTTTTAACACGGAGACCCTACAGCAAACTTAGGTTTGCATTGCGCGAACAACAAAACCTGCGCGCGAATTAAATGTGACCTCACAACGAACAGCGTCACAATCAAAGGCATTCGAGCGCAAAGAAAGAAATCAAAATGTCGGCAACAAGCGATCGTACGCATTCTTTTCTACCTTATCTTCCCGAAGTAGTGGACATGATTTTGAGNTGATACCATCTTTCAGGCTCACTTCCAGCGGTATTTCAAGTAAAGAGCTCATTGCTAACCGTCAGTTTCAGTGGAAGCCGCTCGCATTGTACCGACAGTAACTGAAAGTAAATTTGCATTACGAAGCTCCTACCACCGGCCGCGTGGCGTCCGACAGGCATCTCTGAAAAACGTTAGTAATGATAGCCATTTTCTTCGTTAACACCGCTGCTGTCTTATCAAAGTATCAAAAATTGAGAACAAAAGTTTGTTTTAACACGGAGACCATACAGCAAACTTAAGTTTGCATTGTGCGAACAACAAAACCTGCGCGCGAATCAAATGTGACCTCACAACGAACAGCGTCACAATCAAACGCATTCGAGCGCAAAAAAAGAAATCAAAATGTCGGCAACAAGCGATCGTGCGCATTCTTTTTTACCTTATCTTCCAGAAGTAGTGGACATGATTTTGAGATATCTCCCGGCTAGGGAGCTACGGACAACGGCGCGAGTGAGCAGAATGTGGAGACACATTTCCATGCAGATTCTTCATTCACGCACAACCTGGAGCGTGCATTACCTGGCTGACAAGCTAATAACTGGCAACGAAATCGACAGTGTCATCGAGAACATGTATACCGAGCCTCGGATGGTAATTCAGTTAAGCCACCGTGAGATCTGGTTCACGAGAAGAGAACCTCGAAGGCGCAGGAACGAAGAACGACAGCTGGTACGATCCGTGTTCAATTTATTTTCCAAGCTGCCGCCGGGATGTGTCACGTTGGGCTGTACCACTGAGCGTATAGTGTTTCAGCAACCCATTGACCAGTTTACCCCAGATCATATGCATCATCTCAAGACTGGGCACGCATTCATGTGCGCGCCATATATGCCAGGTGTAGAGTACCATCATGTTTATCTTCGCACTCCAAGACCTCCCCCGGAAAGCCGCTGGTGTGACATGTTTGATTTACCCGCCAACGCTCCAGTGAAGTTAGTTATTCTGATCGCATTGTCGGCGAGTAGAGATTTTATACCTTTCATAGCTGCAGGTATTGCAATTTTAACCTGATCTTGTCCTCTTTTAAAATACCTTAATATGCCTTAACGTTTTCCGACCTTTGGTTTACAATACAGGAATCCGTGAGACATACGGGGAACAAGTGGTTGTTTTTGGTGGCGTAGGGCACGACCGTTTGTTTATTGATGGACTGGTGAAGAGAGCAAGGGTTGTCGCAGTGTTTATTTCCGGTCAACGATTCCGTGCATGCGCAGGACTATTAAATAACGGCAACAACGCTGACTTTTACTCGCCGGCTCAACAACTCATCGAAGACGCTAGCAGACACGGTTTCACACCTAAGTTTTCGCTCCTGTTCACGTCACGGTTCGTTCACAAAGGACAAGCCTTCTACTCTAGCTCGCAAACAGCCTTTAAAGAAGGATTTACCAATAGTCCCATGATTGGATTTTATTCGTACGGTGAATACTGTTTAACTGAAAGAGATGTGGGGGTAACGAAAATCAATGACTTCAAGAGACTTATGAGATATAATTCAGCCATTTATTGTGTATGTTCGTATCGAAACGAACCGTCGTAATACATATTTTGAAATTGTAAATATCGTAAATAGGTGGAAAATCTCAACACTAGTTAGAAAGTTTAAATATAATTTTTTCTTGGTTTGTATTAACGAAAATTGAAACAACAAAATCTACAAACATAACATCTGTTTAAACTGCTATATCAGTGTAAGGTTTTAAGTGCAAAGCGATCGCACTGGTAAAGTAAATTAAAGGCTACATACTTACTTTTACTTTCTTTGTTTTTTAAGTTTTTACTTTTTATCTCACTTCTACCCTTGAAATATAGTAAAAATGCCAACCGCTGCATGAGAAAATATACGTGTTACGGTGTATACTCCTGAAATCACGTTACATTTGTGACAGATTTTACCGCTACATCTGATTGGCCTATGCGGTGATTGAAAATAGAAACTAATTCTTATTGGTTGACGCCACTTTCACGCCTTTTCTCCACTTGGCTCTATGGTTAAACAACATGAACTGAACTACAGTAAATTCACGTAAGAGACCGTCATTGGAATAGAAGATTGATCTAACGAAATATTAGGTTACTGGTAGCGTATTTACACTTATTTTTTGTACAAAAATTAAACTGAAACTTGCAAATCACGTCCAGCTTCAAGGAAGCATAGACCTTCACGGTACAAATACCTTCACAGTAAAAATGGAACGATTATGTTGCTACTGAGGATAAACATGGATAAATATTTTCTCAATTGACCAGAACATAAGTTAGTTATTACAACGGTGGATGATCCACCCACTATTACAAAACAGTATTCCACAACAGCGTCCATCAAGTGGGGCAAGTTTAACAAGTTCAGGCGAGTAGCTTGATATGGAGTCATTGATTCCCAATGTCACCCCGTGGAGGAAGCCATTTTGGAAGAGTACGAATCGCTTTCAAGTTGAAATAATCCTTTGACACAAAAATTACCTAACGCTGAAATTTTCAGAAATATCGATACTTCTAACCATGAGGATCGAATGTGCATTAAATACAAAACGGCAATTATTGAATTATTTAAATTCTGCTAGAGATTACAACTGAAAGCTAACAAGTTAAGCGCACCACGTGATGTCTTGTAGACACATGGCTTGAAACCACTGAAACATTAATTGATTAGAAGAACTAAGACTTAATTGAGGACTGTCTTTCTTCGCTTCTCCTGTTTGAGTCTGTAAACAACAAATAGTGACAAATATTAACATTTCTCACCAGCTATGTCATGGAAACTCAACTTATGGGTGGACCTTCTGACTTTTGAGGGAGGGGGGGAGGTGATTTCCTTGGTACACGAAAGGTTTCAAAAAGAAATTCACGACTATGCCATATCACCGACCCTCCACTCCCCCCCTAAAAGGTCAAATGGTCCACCCTTTAATTGCTCTACTAATACAAAGATATAAATAGAAATATTTACCATGGCAGGAGGGTACACTCTGCGGAAGTTTCCTCTGTGAATGTGCTCTAAATACGCGGCTTTAATAAATTCACGTTCATTCTCTCTAAGACAAGGATAACACAGACGGCAGATCTAAGAAAACAAAAACACAATGTGTAACACCTCTATAAGCAATTCATTGTATGTATGTCTGATTGTCAGCGACAAAACTTAAATAATTCGTGAAACGAGAAGAGGCTGAAGACAACTGACTGATCTAAGAACGAACGACGACAACAAATAATCACACAACCTTGAAACCCACCTCTTTGATACAGGCCTTGGTGCATTCCTTACTTGAACAGGTTTCGTACAACACTTGGATGTCTTGATCGTTTACTAGCATTTCTTTTTCAGATGGCGAACTTAAAAGCAAACAAACAAATCACTTCAGAAATTCTATAATGAGAATCTTAGCAGATCCTCTTTACCCTTTGTCAAGCGAGAAGCGAAAAAGGACCAAGAACAAGAAAATGCCGGGCTGCGCGACAGACGAACTAGCGTAGGCTTGTAGCCCATTACCAGCTTTCATACTCACAGAATCGATTGCAGATGATCTGTCTTACCTGTACTTCAAGCTATGATCCAGTTTAGTTGCTACTCCTACTAAACCAAGAAGGTTGAATACAACCTAAGGAAGGAAAACATCGACAAATCAAGAAAAGCATTTCTGCACAAGTTGATTCAAGAGGTAATACTGTCAGTAACCTGTTGTCGCCAGAGGCACCTTGGGAATGCTTCTGTCACGATATGAAGGACTTGGGATAGCGGTCAAAACATCAGCCTTTTTATGCTTTTCATCAACTTTGGGTCAGTAACATACTGAGAATAGTTACTGACCTTTCGTAAGTCACTAGAGACATTATTATTGATGTGTTTACGTTTAGAGATTTCTGCTGATCTTTTATACGTCACTAGGGATATTTGCTGACCTTTTTAGTTTCATAAATTACCAGAGGTATTTACTGAATTTTCGTAAGTCATTAGAGATATTCATTGATATTTTTACTGACCTGTTCGTACATCAGTTTATTATCTGAATGCGCTGCTGACGACAGATTAGGAGACATATTCACCTACAGAGAACGTCATGTGACATTAACAATTTTTACATATATGAACTGCACAAAACGACCGCATTTACGTATGCTTCCTTTCAATCAGGCACTCATACATGTATAGTTGGTTGGTTGCTACATCAGTTAGTTGGTAATGTGTTATTGGTTTCCTAAGTTCAATAGCACTGAAAGAGCAGTAATCAGCAAAAGAGAAATTTTCATGAGTCTTGATTAGATGTTTATCGGTTTAACAACTCCTTGCATATGAACGAGTTCTTCCCGCTGACCGTCCATTGAAATAGGTTATGTTCACTCTAATTATTTTTTTTTTTTTCAATTACCTTCCTGTACATATATTCTCTGCCATCGGCGTCAGTAGCTTAGTTTCCTTGCTTTTCAACTTGTGCTAGCCAATCAAAGCGAGAAGTTGTTTAGTCAGGCTACTACTGGCTCGACTCAGCGCACTTTTCCCGCGCTTTCCACCGAGTTAACGCTTCTGCTTTCAAGTTCGAAGACACGAGTTCCTACTGCCATTGTGATTGGCTCTTAGTTATAGTTGAACAGCTGTAAAAAATATTTTGTCTTACAACTACTAGCGACTGCCTACAAGATGATGAATAAAATCAGTTACCTCCATGAGCCAGACTTTCAAGTCCGAGTCCAATATGAAATCAAAACGCACCATCTCAAAGAAGTTTCTGAACATAGGGAAGAAGTGACAGCACCGATGAGAAAACGCGATTGACAAAGATAACAAGCCGTGTTTAAGTCATGAAAAGCCACTATCCTTTAATGGCCTATTCTGACTATCAGGTATATATTGAGCATTTGCAGAATTAAAGTAAAGAGGATGCTCACTAACGGAGACATATTGAAGGAATGCTGAATTACAGAAACACATAATTCTACTGCATTAATTGAGAATAAAAGGAAGCGTTACCTGGTGGATTTGTAGCTTGAGGATGCACTAATAAGGTCTGGTTCCTTTCTTAAATAAACCTGGAAAATAACAAAAATAAAAATGTATGAATTTACATTCTTAGCAATAACTCATTGACACAATAACATTTTTTTTTTTAAAAAAAAA